GGCAAGTTATTATTATCTCTGTGGAAATAAGAACACAGTGGCAGGGCTGGGATAACTGCTTTGCTCTGAGTCCCAGAGTTCAGAATGGCACCTCGGGGCTGGCACCGGGGGCTTCTGGTGCTCTAGACACACAAGGCTGGCAGTCCTTGATACCTATTTCTTTACCTCCACTTACTAGAGTTTCGATCCAGAAAAAAATTAAGCTAGTCCCTGGTTTGAGAGTGCAATTCACAGCATCACAACACCTTGCAACATAAGCCTAAGTATTAGTCCCTTGGCACCAGGGTTCCAGGAGGTGAATGATTTACCCCAAATTCCTGATGAATAGCGTTGCTGGACAGAAACCTCCCTTGTATGTCAGCATTAGAACAAGAATGAGAAACTTCTGTAAATCCTCCCTTTGTCCCTTACCCAGTTCTCTTCGTAGCGCTAAAAGTGATTCAAAGTGATTTATTAAAGTGTAAAGTTCATTTACACTTTCAGAACTATCAGTTACAGACCAACTAGTGTCAGGCATTTCCTAGGCACTAATGATGCCCCTATTCTCAAGAAGCATAGGGATCGAGGCCTCACAGATAACATAATTCACATACCTGTTGAATTATGATTAGTCTGCATAACAGAAAAGGCTGAAAGAAGGCAAACAGAGCTAGCAAAGAGAAACCAGAAGCCTTAATAACACATGAAAAGAATAAAGAGCCTCCAGATAAATTGCGTGCTGAGATGCTGGAGGATGAATCACTAAGAAATTGGAAAATGACTTCTAGCTGCTTCTTAAAGAAACAAGAATCTGTAAGGAGTAAAGAGTTTCATATGGGTTGACTCTTCATACATGTGTATATATTTGGAACACAGATCTAGTAAAATGTATAAGTTAAAAGTAAACTTATTTATTTTTATTTTTGAGACAGGGTCTCATTCTGTCACCCAGGCTGGAGTGCAGTGGCAAAAGTGAAATTCTTTTAAGCAATTTTTTTTTATCTACATAAGGAAGTTATAACAAAATAACTCTAAAAATAAGAATAAAATATGCATTAGTTTGGTTTTAATAAAGACTGATAAAATTTCAGTTGGCTTTATATTGTTTTCTTAATGTTACAAGGAAACTGTGTTTATCTTGAAGTTTCATAGCTGCAGTTCTCCTTAAAACTTACAGATTTCAAAATTTTGATCTTTTCTTGGATTTGGGAAAGCTTTGGGGCCAGGCATGGTGGCTCATACCTTTAATCCCAACACTTTGGGAGGCCTAGGCAGGAGGATTGGTTGAGATCAGGAGTTTGAGACCAACGTAGGCAACATACGGAGACCTGTGTCTACAAGAAATTTAAAAACTAGCTGGGTGTAATGGTGCACACCTGTGGTCCCAGCTACTTGGGAGGCTGAGGTGGCATGATCTCTTGAGCGTAGGAGTTTGAGGCTGCAGTCAGCCATGATCACACCACTGCACTCCAGCTTGGATGCCAGAGCAAGACCCCATTCCGAAAAAAAAGAGAGAGAAGAAAAATGGCATATTTTGTTTGTTTTAGAGTTTTTATTTCCATTTAGATAGCCAACTTTTTATCGTAGAATGATACCCTGTATTTAGAATCTCTGTCTGTGGAACCCATAGCAGACATCACTGAGGCCCAATTAGTGCCTCACACCTTTCAATTCCAATATGAGATAATGTATTTTCTTGCCCTTCAGAAGCTTATAGACTGGAGTAGAACCATTCATGGCAACAACCATTCATTCATTCAGTATGCATTGAGAATCTATAGTGGACCAGCAACGTTGGGTGCTGGAGATGCAAGGGCAAACATTTGAAAGAAGGAAAAGACAAATGGCTTAGTTCATGAACATCTACCATGACAAAGCACCATTCTGAACGCCCAGTCTTAAAACTTCTGTGTGACTCCAGAAATCCTAAAATCTTTTTATTCATGCTATTTAAATTTTACTTTTTTACAGTTCTATAAAAATATTTTATGCAGCATATGCAGATAAGAATCAAAGCTGGGGAAGTGAAGAGAATTTTAATCAGCTCACTACTAGTCCAGTTTGTGAAATCCTTTTGATTTATATCAAACACCTTCAAAGGTAGATTGCCAGCTATTAATTTTTAGTTCAGTCTTTTCCTTTAGTGTAGAGAATTCAGCCTTATACAATGTATGGAGAATCTTTTTTGCTTTGGAGCTCCAAGGGAATTGTTGAGAACAAAATGCATCAAGAAAATCAAGAGGTTGGTGAGTCATCCCTTGTGTCTTTGGAATTTCTGGCTGCACGTAAGGCTCATCCCTCCTTCCATTTCTTCTTTCTCTGCATCCACCAACTCTCCGTAGTGCTCACCCCAGCAGAACCTCCAAAGATACTCTTCAAAGCCTTGAACCATTATCTTGACTCACTGTCTACTTGAGGGCAGCAGCCTACATCAACTGCTTGTATAAATTTCTTACTGTTAATGCCCCACGTTAATTAAATATTTCCTGAGTATCTACTGTGTTCCAGACATGCATTAGTTCCCAAGGGTGCAAAGATGCTTAAACCACAGTCCTTGCCTTCAAGTTGCTTATATTATAGTTGGGAGAGAAACATATACAGCCATGTGTCCCTTAATGGTGGGGATGTCTTCCAAGAAATGTGTTATTAGGCAATTTAGCCATTGTGCAAACATCCTAGAGTGTGCATACACAAACCTAGATGGTGTAGCCTGCTACACATGGCTATGTGGTACGGCCTGTTGCTCCTGGGCTATAAATCTATACAGTATGTTATCGTGCGGAATATTCTAGCCGTTGTAACCAGTGATAAGCATTTGCACATCTAAACAGGTGTAAACGTAGAAAAGGTGCAGTGAAAATACAGTCTTATAATCTTATGGAACCACCATCGGATCTATGGTCCATTGTTCACCAAAACATTGTTATATGGTACTTGACTGTATACCACGTAACTGTAATAGTGTAATAAGTGCTGTGATGATCTAGAGGAAACAGGTTAGATCTCATTAATAGGGTCAGAGAGCTCTTCCAAGAGAAAAGGATCTATACATTTGGATGTAAAAAAGGGCCAGGAGGGCATTCCCGACCAATGTGAGCTAAGGCACAAAGACATGAAACTATATGGCATAGTTAGGGAATAGTTGCTTGTTCAATAAAAACGCAGGCTAGAATTCTAAGAAAGAGTTGGAAAGATAGTGGTAGCCCCATTGGTTGTGGTCCAATTGCACAGGGTCATGGAAGTATATTTGTGCTATAGGTTGTAGGTATTATGAAGTGAAAGGGAATTTTTCACCACGCCATGAAAGATCGCAGTTGAGTTTTGGAAACAGTGGCACGGTGGTAGAAAAAATCGCTATGAAAGGCCAAGGGCCAGGAAGGCTCTATGAGGCCATTGTAGTCATCCTGAAATGAAATTGTCCAGACAGAACTGAAAGAGCATCGTTGGGAATGGGGGAGACCTCAAAGGGAAATGAAACCAGAAATTGAACTGGATGTGAGGCTAGAAGAAGAGAGAGGAATCAGAGATAGGAAGCAGGTTTGTTGAATGAGGAGAGGTAGGGACTGAGTTTCATTTTAGATATGTGGAGTGTGAGGTGATTTGGAAATGTTTGTAAGCAACTGGAAATAAAAAACTGTTCTAAGTCAGGAGATCTGAGCTAACGATATATATTTGGGAGACCCTGGTATATTGTAGTGATTTGAATAATAGAAACGTAAGGTACACCTCCCTGCTGCCTCAAGAACAGATTTGTAAAGATGTAAATGGAACCATGGGGTAAGTCTGCATTTCTAAGAGCAATCGGCAGAAGCAGGGAAGAACAGTAAGAGTACAGAGACAGAAGTCAAAGGGGCAGAAAGTTTTGAGATGAAGGAAGGGGCAGAAATGCTTGATGCTGAGATGTCAGGTAGCATGAGAACTGAATGGGGATCATAGGATTCAGCAATGAGGATGCCACTGTGGCTTACAAAGGAATGGGTAATACCAGATGGCAGGGGGACCTGGTCTGGGAGTATCATTTTTGGGGGTCACCGTGGGTCCTCTCCCAGGCTGGCTCCAGGCTTCACTCTAGCGGGAGCTGTCCTGCAGCAGTTGGTTGGTAGGGATCAGCCCCAGGACCGCCATCCACCCTGACCCTTGGTGCTTGTGGTCCCTAGTTCCCCTGTCATAACCATAGCCTGTTCTTGAATCCCAGCTGATAGGGATCAGATCCAAAAATTGCCTAATTTTATATCACAGGACTCTAGTTGGTCTTTTTTCATTGTTTAATTAAATTTTTTTTCTTGTACCCCAAATCGTCACCAACTCTTTTCTCCCCACCCTGTCCACATTCAGTGGGTCACCATTCTCCCTGTGGTGATGCCATCACTAGCTGACATCCTCCCACTTTATCTTACATCTGCCCTGGGCACCACCGTCCAACCTGCTGCCATCACCTGTTGTCTGCCAAATAAAGTCTGGACTCATTCTCAAGTGGAGGACATTTTCCTTTCCAGTCATGTCTCCCATTTCTTCTCTGGACCCATGCTCCATCCTAGAAACAAATTTAAATTGTCCCCAACTTGGGCTTTTCCACCTCATCCCTTTATTCCTCTCACTTGGTCTTGCTAGAATGTCTTCCTCTGTTTCTTCAGCTGTCTGAAGCCCACTCACCCAGTTTGGCCCTGCAGACCTCTGCCACTTTCCCGGATCACCTCGCTGTCCAGGGTCTTCCCCAGCCCTGCAGTACTGCGGCAGCTGATTCACCGATGACACGTTGTACCACCTTGCTCAGTTGCAAGGTCTCTGAGAGCAGGGGTTCTTTGTGCATTCTGCAGTGACTGTGAGTTCATGGTGACTACTGGGTAAATGTTGACCACATGAATGAATTGAGAAATACTAGGAGCTGTTGCCTAAATTTCCTGAGGTTTGGAGCCTTTGTAAGTATTTATTTAAAAAATTAATTCACAGAGCCATGTCCTTGTCTCCCTCTCCTCTGTTCCTGGGGCCCCTCCTTCCCTTTATTCTCAGTAGATGGTTTCTTTGAATTGGACCCATTGTCTGAGTTCAAGAAGAGAAGACAGACATGGAGAAAATCAGAGCTCCACCTCACCCATGAGGTGAGCACCCAGGAAGCTAACGTTAGGGAAAAAGTACATCATCTTCCCTCTGTTAGGTAGTTGTCTCTTTTCTCTTGGTCTCAACTGATCCCCAATGTGCCCCCCACCCCCTGCATTTTTTTTTTCTTCTCAATGTGGCAAGCAAGGAACAAAAGCTGAGAAAGAGATTTTAGGGAATGAACAGCCTACACCATGATTAGGGAGTAAAGGAGAGTCTAAGGCAGGAAGCCAGATCTCCCTGGCAGCATGCCTGAATCGCCACCCCCAAACCCAAGGACACACACATATATGCAAACACATTCTCTCCCCAAATCTTGACAAGTGCAGCACCAGAAATAAATGAGCCGCCTTAAGTGCTAAAAGAAGACAGGGAAACAGTAAGGTGGATTTCATGTCCAAAAAGTTGCACATCTTTTAATTAGATAGTCTCACTTGGAGATTTCTCTGACTTCAGAACCAATTTGAGATACTTACTAACATTTCAGCTTTCACTTGGTGTCTGAGACTTTTAGGAACGCAACTGCAAAAAGAAGGGTTAACCTACATATGCGTGGAAAGTCATTTAAAAGGACAATGAATTTGTAAATTAAGCCAAGTATTTCCAAATTCTAGAATGGTTAAAGTAACTTTGATATTTAATCATAAGCATCTAGAGGACAGGGAGCAATAAGAATCTAGCATGTATTAAGTGGACACTATGTGTGCTGATACGTTGATATCTAGAGCCCTGGACTCGTGGCTCCAGTTAGTGAACAAGAGTGGGTTCACCTGTCTGAAATGATGAAGGAAAAAGCGGATCTGCACACTTCCTGAGGAGTATTATTCAACGATGCGCTGTGACCAGTATATGCTGTTGGATCCCTGGCAGGCTTAGGTGACAGCTGAGTTGAAATAAAGGAGGGTCGTGTACCGTCGAGAGGGATAGAAGTCAGCTCCGCAGTGAGATTTCTTCCACAGCTCTTTGGTGGCCAGTGATGTTCATTGGTCCTCATGGTATCAGTGAATGATCCATCCTGAAGTTGAGCACTTCTCATTCAAGGGTAACAAGCACAGCAAAGGAAGACATTTCCTATTTTTTAAAATAAGAAAATGTGCCTATACAGATATAAGCAAAGGAGACCAGAACTGGGTAAAGGCAATGATTCTAATGAGTTCTTTACTAATTCAGAGTTTAGTGGATTCAGATTGAAATAATTAATTGTTCGGCCCTGCTTGGCTGTTTAACAACAACCATATTAGTTTAATTGTTCCCATTCAAGATAAAGAATTGTTTAATAAGGGCCTTTGAAAACTAATGCCATTTTAAGTTGAATTTTAATAAGTTCTATTAAATAAGAAACAAAGCCTTGTTATTGGCACTTAGAGACTTCTGGCATTACAGAGCAAAAACCAAGTGAACTCAGTACATGTGTCAAACTTATTTATGAAAGAAAATTATTTATCCCAGCAGTGATTCAACAAGAAGGTGTGTAATGGTTTCTGGATGTCAAGAACCATTTTAAGAAGTTGCTGATGCTCTTCTGCATGGCCAAGAGGAAGAGTCTGAACAGAGCTCTGACCCTAAGAATACAGGCTGTTCCCAATGTTCAGACAAGTTGTGTTCCAAAAACATTTGATTGTAAATGACTTGTCTGGCACTTGAGTTTCATTTTTCTAGAGATGGCAATGCAAATAGAAGCACTGAGCCCAGTGGTTTTATTAGGTTGGTGCCAAAGTAATTGCAGTTTTTGCTTTACTTTTAATGGCAAAAACCACTTTTACTATTGCAACAACCTTACCTAAAGCAGGCAGATCCAAGGGTCCCAGCGGTAGAGAGAGAAGCCTAGGCATCCTTAGCCCTACAGACGCGAGGAGGGTTCTGGACATGCCTTGAGGTGCCAGGACCGGCCACTCATAGGAAAAGTGCGAAGTTTTTTGAGTAAGACCTAAATGAAATCCAGTTTTAGCTCTGCCATCTTCCAGCTGTTTGTCTTTGGACAAGTTACGCCACTAAACCTGTTTCTTCATCTAAAACAGAAAACATTGTACCAACTTACATGGCAGAACTGGTGTCACCTAAGGTGCTTCCGTTCAAAGTGTCCAAACTCTCTGTGTCCTTGCAACCATGCTGCCTTTTGGCCTTAATCTTCTACAGCCAATCAATTACCAAGTTCTATAGTTTTTACCTCTTACATTTCTCTGGAATGTTTCCATTTACCGCCACCCCGTGGCACTACCCTAGATCAGCCACGTCAGCATCTCTACCGTAGGACCCTTAAATGTGCCCCACTCTCTCCTACCTTGACATTCTCCTTACACCCAGTATTGTTTCCCTGTAATCCACTCTTGACAGGGCAAGAGCTCTGGAGAGCATTTTCAAATGCAAGCCTGATCTTGAGACTCCTGCTTAAAATCTTTTTTGTTTTTGTCTTTATTGTTTTGTTTTATTTTTGCTTCTCATTGCCCTTTGGATAAAAACCAAACTCCTTAACATGAATTTTAAAGCCCTGCTCACTATGTGACCCCTGCCTCCATCTCATTCCTGAAACTCCTCCCCCTCCCACCGCACATACTTGCTGTACTAACTTATTTAAATCTCTTCAATGCACCACACTGGCCTCCTTTCTTGCATCCAGCCCTGAAACAGGGGATCCCTGGGCTGAGGACACTTTTCCTTCATTGTGCCCTTCCTGCTTCACCAGGCTAACTCCTGTATCCACTGCCCTCTATGAAGGGCATAGGCCAACTCTGACTCTGTTGGTTATTAGGATTCCAGTTGCAACACCCAATACTTCTGTTGATGGCTGTTGTGATACCTTGGCTCTTGTCTTCTTAGTTTAGAAGAATTTAAACAAGAGACATACAGCCAAGGAGATGCATCAGAGAGTCATTCATTGCAAAAGAAAAAGAGTATTTTGAAAGTTAGATGCAGAATGAACAGTATACCCTGAGAGAGTTCAGGGTGAGCTGCTTGTAAGGGTGAGGCAGTGTTGATTATTGCTGGAGAAACCCCCTTTATGAGAGTCTTACATGATAATTCATAAGGAGATGGGAAGAGGTGTTGCTAGTAAGCATGTTCTGGGTGGTCCTCTGGGTGCACATGCGCTGTAGCTGTACGTGCATGTTCATATATCACGTGTCTCATTAGCATCTTAAATCTCCACCCAGGGGTGTGTTTTTTACTATAAATGAGCAAAGGGTCAGTTTGATGACAATTAAAATCAAAATGCACATGCTCTAGAGAAGGGACAGTCCCTCCTGAAGATAGCTTTGCTTACATGAGCTCAATTACAATGCGAATGCCAAGGCTTATTGTATTGGCTGTGAGGTCACCACCACTGCTGCATCCCAAGAACATGGTCACTTCCTTGACTATCCTGCCTCACTTCCCCTCTCAAAATACTTTATTGTAATTACTAGCTTAGTTCTCTGATTTACCTGTAGGCTAAAGGGCTGACACAGTAAGGCAAGGTAGTAGTAAGAGTGCAGGTTTTGAACTGCCTGGGTTAGATTTTGCTCCATATTTGTTTGTCAAATGACTCATCATCTGTAAGCCTCAATTTCCTCACCTGTAAAATGGGTAGAAATGATACTGCCAATCTTACAGAGTTATTGTGTGAGTTAAATGATGTAATATACATACATGCTGATGCATATAGATGCATATATGTGCATATATAAAAGGTTTAAGTGCATTGACTGGTGCATAAAAATGCCTTCAATAAACTGAGATACACATATAATGGGTACTTACTAAATATGTACAGACTTTTATTGTTTTGTTTTGCTTTTTAAAGCAAAGTATTCCTGAGACTGTTTTCTTGTGAGTCCTTTGTCTCTCTTTCTTAATTTTCCATTAGCTGGGTAAGATCAGAGTCTCAAAGTAAAAAGTGTTAACACTGTGTTTGCTTCCCTATTTGCTCATTTTTTCTGCCAATCTATGTAGCCTTCAGGTATGACATAAAGATGTGCAGTAGAATGCGTGTGGGCAAAGAAAATACATTCATAAAATGTGTTCTCCAGCCATCCAGTAAGGCATCCCTTCCTTACTAGTTGTAGGCTCTGCTTCTGCCATTGTCTTTAATCCTTGCCTATTTCTGAGCCCCTTCCTTAGAAGCTACTGGCTGAGGAAGTCTAATGTGATGAGGTCCGAGCGTGAAGTTCACTCAGCAAAGACAGGAGAGTGGCATGCAAGCAAATTAAAGCATTCTTAGCTTTCCAGTTCACTCTCTCTGCAAAAAAAAGCAAAACAAACAAACAAACAACAACAAAAAAAACATACATAGCTTTTTAGGCTTCTATTTTTAGGAGTTGCCAAATACATTTCAAAAGCAAAACTACAAATTAATGCAGCATGGGGTATGTGACATTTTTTAAGGTCTTTGGAGGAGATGACAAAACAAGAGCTTCCCACTTTCCAGGGTTGTAAGTTTTTGGGAAAAATCAATAAACATCCTACCTTGCCACTGAATTGTGTGAGGGTTTCCGGATTACCTGGTAGTCACCAGGCTTTAGAAGAGTTATTGTCATTTCGATTTTCAAATGAGTCACTGGATCTCTTGCCCCCAGGGCCACTTCATTATGATTCAGTGCAAAGTACTGACAGCACCGGGGCTTCCGGGAGGGAGTGGTGTCGGGGTGGGGGTTGCTGTTGGCAAGAGGCTTAATTGACACCTTTGATGTAGCCTAAGACAGAACCTGCACCTCCCACTGCTGCTTGGGAGACGTCAGCTTTACGCAGAAAAGGCATCTGCTGATGAATCCTGCATCTCATTCAGCCTGCTCTGGGAGCAGCCTTAGCCATCCTTAAACTCATCCAACCAATTCCCGTTTCCGCGGGTGCTTGGCTTAGTGCTGAGACGGGATTCTGCCCTTGGTATTCAGGTCCAACACTAAGACTGTGTCCATGTTAGAACTCATAGAAGGTAAGTGAAATGCATTGCTGCTCTCCCTTGTGGAAAGCGTTTATTTTGCACCCTCAAGAATCTATGTGTCTCCTGGTTAATTCTACTTCACTGACTGTGGGGCTGTAATATTGTCATTTTTACAGGTAAAATAGAGGCGACCTGATACATCTTTATAAAACCATGTCTTTAAGTGTTTCATTCTGTTGTCAGAGATGATGTTACTTAGAGAAAAGAATTGCTTACTTGAGTTCTGTGGCTTTAGTTCAGTTTAGTGCAAATATGCATAAAACTCTTGAGAATTGGGTAGAATTCCAGTGATTTGAACTTGTTAGCAGTTTTTCTTTTCAAAGGCAGCAAAGAGAAACTGTGAGGAGTTTCTCAGCGTCTGTGGCCAGTGACTGTCCTGTTCAAGTCAGGTCCATCACAATCAGGCTGGGGGGATGGACAAGACACAGGTGGATGCAGGACATTTTTCTAGAAGTGGGTTATTAATTATACAAATACAGTGATCTATTTATCAGGTCATTGGAATGTCACTGGTGATCTGTGCTTATATTTATTCCTGCTGGGTAGTACTAGGTAGCTAAACTGAAGAGTTAAGAATGAACCTCATTGAAAATGTCTCAGGACCATACATTCCTAAAGTCCCTGCTGGCACAGTTAAAGGCATCATTAATACATTCATCAGGAAAGTTATGAAAGATACATCTTAAAAAATAATTCTGTAACCTACTGCTCTGTGAAACACAGGATTTGCAAAACTGTGACTCTCTGAAGGCTACTTCCCAAAGCTCTTCCTCAATGTACACATGGAAGGGTGTCTAGAGTTCTAGTACACAGCTCTCTATATAATTGTTTATTTCCTGGAGATGATTTGTCATGAAAATTATTTAACGTGCCATTTTTCTCTGTGTGTGATTCTTTGTATTTCTAGTTAATGGAACCCCTGGTAGTCAGCTCTCTACTCCGCGCTCAGGCAAGTCGCCAAGCCCATCACCCACCAGCCCAGGAAGCCTGCGGAAGCAGAGGGTAAGGAAATAAGCAAGCTGCTTGTTTCAGACTTGTCTCAGCCTTGGTGCAGAGTGGTACAGGTGCCAGCAAATTGTGCTGCTCGTCTCTAAGTGATATCTAAGCTAGAACAGGAGGTGACCAATGGGGAGTTGCTTATTGCTGTGGTTTAGCTAGAACTCAGGGCTTTTAGCTTCTCTGTAACCTTGTCCAAATCTTAACTCAGAAGAATGCACCTTTGCTACTTCACTTTTACACACTCCTCTTTTTGTTCTGACTGCACAGGCTTTATTAGCACTAGTTTATAAGCCTTCTTAGTTGTGATGAGTTTGATTAGATGTCACCATTAAGGGAAAGAAGAAGTGCTGTGAATGGAGGGGAGGGCTCTAGTGGAAAATTGCTTATGGTACAGATGGGGCCCCGGAGCAGCAGAGGGTCCATGAGGTAGGGGATGGGAACCTATGACACGTGCTTTTGTGGATGAAACCCACATTGAGCACCTTTTCATCACTACTTGCATTTATGGGCAATTTGGCTGAGCTTGGAGACCACAGTGAAAAAGTTACTGGAAACTGTTAGCTTCTCCATGCTAAGGAGGAGGGTGAGGGTTAGCGCTTCTTTCAGGTTGGAGAGACTACAGTTCTTATCCTGTCACAACCTGTACTGTTTGTCTTTTCCAGTAATACCAAGGCAAAAATAAAAGTAGTGGGAAGGAGGCAAAAGGGGAGGTACAATGCCAAAAACGGAAGGCCCTTTATGGTCCTGATTTCAGATGCGAGGTCGGGGGAATGTACGCTTCTGGGAGGTTTCATGATGGTGCTCACCGAACACTTTAATAAGCGAGGACTCCTTGCAGTCTACTGCACTCAAATGCTAGATTCTTGAGTTTGGTTTCTTTTAATATGTGTTTTAAAATAAAACTTCTGCCGGGCGTGGTGGCTCAAGCCTGTAACCCCAGCGCTTTGGGAGGCCGAGACGGGCGGATCACGAGGTCAGGAGATCGAGACCATCCTGCCTAACACAGTGAAACCCCGTCTCTACTAAAAAAAATACAAAAAACTAGCCGGGCGATGTGGCGGGCGCCTGTAGTCTCAGCTACTCGGGAGGCTGAGGCAGGAGAATGGCGTAAACCTGGGAGGCGGAGCTTGCAGTGAGCTGAAATCCGGCCACTGCACTCCAGCCTGGGCGACAGAGCGAGACTCCGTCTCAAAAAAAAATAAAAATAAAAAAAAATAAAAATAAAACTTCTGAGTTCCATAAAATTAGGTGTCATCCAGGATGGAAGGCCCTCTCTTCAAGATTTCTGCACAGGTTGTGTCTTTAGGCTGCCAGACGTCTAAGAGTGTGGGGCAGGGAGATTCATTTGGTCCCTAGCTCCTTTGGAGCCTGTTGCACCAAATATCAAGTTTGGTTATCTTTTGCCACTGATTCACCTGGCATCAGGTGGAGCTTGTTTTGAGTGTTTGATGAAGCCTGGGATCTGATGCCAGCTTGTCCACTAAATGGCCATGGTATCTTAGATACGCCTGTTACCTTTTCTGGGTCTCCGTTGGAAACACAAAACAAAACAAGGAGGCTCTTTCCAGATAGAAAGTCCAATACTTCTGTTCTACTTCCATTTGAGTGTTTTCACTATGGTTTTTTCTTGGCCACAGTCTAATTTGGGATTTTAAGGTGTTGGAATCATTCGCGAAAAACTCAAAGAATTGGCCACATTTATTTACTCTCCTAAAGGCCTGTCCTTGAGTGGAGGAAGAGCTGGTCAGTCATTCTTTTCTTGTAAACATCACGCAGTGAGGCATCAACCTATAGGGACCGCCATTAGATACAGAGCAGGAAGGGCCCTCTTTCTGAGAACATTCTCTCTCTTAGAGTGTATGCTTTCTAGAGGACACCTAGCATAGAAATCCCTCTTTATACTTTGAGCTAATTGAACTCAGATTAAGGATTTATTGGTGTCATTTATGCTTAGTTGTTGAGATTAAGAGTGATCAGGAATTCCCACTGCTGATGGGAGCTTCTCTCCCTGCTCGTTTATCGAGGAGACCTCCATCGTAGGGATGTAAAGCTATGCTCAGATGTCCCTTTCTTGGCGGAATGGGGCTAGAATTCGCTTCTTCTGCTTTCTATATTTCCACTTTAGTATGATTTTGTCCAATTGAGGCAGAAAATTTCCATTCAGCTCTGTGGCTATTGGCTTATATAATTAACATTTCCTGTACTTGGGGAATGATTATAAGATATGGCTGTCTTATAGATTCTTCATTTTACCATTTAAATGATCAGTGCAAACACCATACTTGAGAGAAAAAAAAATCCCATTTGTTTTAGGAGGACAAAGGGTTTATACCATCTGAAAACACTTATTGAGCACATGTTGTGAGGCAGGGCACTGAATATATTCTAAGATGGTTCCATATCCAGGCTTTTGAATTTGGGCCATAAATGAACGTCCGCATCCATGTGCTGTGTCAGTGTATGAAGGCATTCCCAGCTGCTTTAGCCAGAGGAGCTTTCATCTTAGCATGTAGGCAACTGCATCAAATAATCCCTCCCAGTTAAAATGGGCCTAGAAGATCCCTAAAAACTAATCCTGTTTCAAATTTGGTTAATGGTCTTCTCAAATGGTTGGCTATACTCCTATGCAGGAAATACTGACATAAGTGAAAGATGGCATGTGCTAAAAGAAGACACTTCAAAGAATAAATTAACTCTTTTTACTGCAGATTGGAAAACAGTAGCTACTTCTATTTTTTCCTTCTGTGTTGCCTAGCAACATAGCCAAGAAAATGAGTTGACTACCCTCACCCCAACACACACACACACACACACACATGCACGCGCACACACCTTGCCCCCATTTTAAAAATACAGGAACATAAGGTGTTTTTTCAGAAGGAAGGTTGAGACATTTGACTGGTTTCTTTACAAATAAGAAAATCTAGTTTTTACTTATATTAGTTACAAAATTTAATTACCTTTTTTTCTTCTGTTAAAATCACATTTTTATGTTACCTCTCTTGACATTTTGGAATAGTCTTATACAATGAAAAACCTGCATGCCAGACATTTCTCTTCATAAGCATATTCGTGGCAATGTACCAAGTAACCTATTTTTCCGAAGCAGAGTTATTTAAGTTGCTGTCTACAGGCGTTTGACTGGTCACAGAAGCAGAGCCTGGAGACTCTTTTCCCACTCATGAACTTTTTTTGGTCCCATTTCTTAATCCATCAGGAAGAAATGTGTTGTGTTATGTAGGCTGAATGAAGCTCCCCATTATACTCCCACATCACTGACTTTTGTAGATTATCTGATCAGTCAGATGATGTGAGGAGTGGGTGGTACAAAACAGGAGAAAAGCCAACTCTAGACGCTCTCTGCAGATCTGAGCTGGTTGCCTGGCTACCAATTGAGATCTAGTAGCAGGAAGGGGAGGGAGGAAAAGAGAGAGGAGGTGATGAGTGAGTGGTCTGTTGGAGAACAGGGAAAGAACATTGGGAAGGGATTTGGGGTGAGGTGGGTTAATTTTGCACTCTTTCTGTCGTCCAAACATAATATTTTGAGAAAGCAATG